GAGCCACAAGGCAACCGCAGAACTCCGGCTCTCCTTGGGGGCTCTGGATCGCTTGATGAATCCCAAAATGGTGCTTATAATCAAGGTAATGACCAGACCATTCAGCCAAAACATGGTGTTGAAGTAGGGCAAAAGCTGATTCATGCGGATGTAATACCAACCAACCACAGTACTGTCCATAGGATATAATACTTGTTGACCCCAAAGCCCAGGCGCAAAATGGACGCTACTCCTCCAAACGTAGCCCCGACACCGGTTCGATGGCTGAATCGGTCATCATACGTGATGGCCACCAAGGCGCCCACTAGCATGAGACTGTAGATGGCAGTCAATACACCTTGTGGAGCTACATTTTTGCGTCGCATGGTCATCATGAAGGCATTGCACTGGATGATACTGATTGCCAACAAATGTAATGTGTACCGTCGGTATCCCACAATGCAATAGGCAGTCAAATAGATTTGCACTTCCGATGCATACCATTGTTCAAATGGATCCGTAAACGTGATGCCTCGAACAGTGTTGGAATGGTTGTCTCGTTCCACGTAGTAGGATCCGAAATCGGCAAAGGCACAGGTGCTAGTACAATGACAAGATCCATTTCCTGGTAGCATCCCTTGGATGTGGAAGGATAGTTTTGAAGAATGCCATTCATTTGTTCTTGCCACATGAGTAGAATAAAGGCCAGTGATCTGGAAGTAAAGCCGATGGCATGCCATCTGTTTGTAGATGCATGAGTTGGCATACAGATTGATGAGTGGTACAATACAATAAGCACTTCTTCAGCTTCCATAGAATATATAGAAGTAAATACTGCAATCTAGTATTCACCTATATTCTGGCCATATCCGATATCCTTCTCGGATTCGTTTCTTGGGAATATCAAAGATGAAGCTACTGGCATGGATGGACCAATGAAGCACAATGAAACAGAGCGTGCCAAAGTTGGGCCCAAAGTTTCCATCGGCTGCTCCCAAATGAGCATATCGATAAGCAAAGGACACCAGACAGCAGACTCCAAGGATTTTGTGAATGTGTGGAATGATGAATTGGCGTTCTTCCTTGCTGGAGTCCACCACTGATTTGTCTCGCTGAGACTTCCAGACTGTTGGCTCCTCACCTTTGGTTGTGGTGGTGATCGTTTTATTGGTGTCCGGCATGGATTTTCTATAGTTGGGGTGAGGCGCACCGGCCAACCCAACGACTTCAAAATATAGAGATCTGTATATAGAATAAGCATACTTAGCTGTAATTACCAAATCGCAAAAAAGTGAGGGCAAGAAATTATCGAACTCCAAATTAGCATGGAAGTCCTATGCACAGAGTGGAGAAGTCGCTGCCTATAAGTAAAATTAAGTGTGACTAACTTCAGACGAAAGTATTTACTAAGATTACTACTCTAGACGTATCGCACTTCAGCCAGAGCTTCAAGGAGTGCTCTCCAGAGACGTCCCTGGTTCATGCGGCGCCACATGAACTCGAACAGACAGGGCCTGACGCCTTCTTCTGTTCTCTTCCTCGCCGGAACACGCTTCTTCACACCATTCCAAGTGCCCTCGATGGTGTTAGTGCACGCACCAGTCAAGGGATCCACGTAATTCTCCGAATGATTCACTGTGGAAGGAGAGTAGCGAAGTTAGTCACAGTTAATGGAAAAGGGTCGCGCGACTGGATTTGTGCACTTACCGACTTCATGCTGATACCAGAAGTCTTCTTTTCCCTCTAGATCCTCGTAACTGGGGAACTTGTCGCTAACGATGATAGAACCAGGGAGAATGAACTCCATGACATGTGTTTCGAGAGTAGGCTTCTTCCTGTCTGGTACAGCAACAAGGAAGCACTTGCGTTCTGGGGTTCTTTCAACACCACCGAAAACCCAGACACCGTCGACTCTGTGGCCTCGGTGGTACTTTCGCTTACCGAACTTGGATTCGTCAATCTCCACCTCTATTCCGGGACCTCCAATCTGGTAGTTCTCCATGGTTTCTAGCACCATCTCACCAATGAGCTGCTGAGCGAACCTGAACCAGTCAGTCACCGTATTGGGAGACCAGCCAAACATGCTTCTAACCGAGGTGTAAGTGGTCCCACAGATGAACAAGTACAGGAAGTAGAGCATCTCGTAGGGAGGTACCCTACAGGTGTTGAAGAATGTACCGGCCATAATCGATTGCGTCCACCTTTTACCATGAGTTGCCTTGCACTGGCAACGATTGTAGAAGACTAGGTTCTTGCGGTTGGGCCGGTAGGTGACCGGCATGCCACATTGCACACAAGCATCGGGTATGTTCAGGCACCCCTCGCTAACTAGATACTCTACAGTATTCTCATCGTTTGCGAATACGTCCTGTATGGCACGTAGAGGTGGGATTCCCCTGTGGTCTTCGTTGAGGTTGACAGCTGCCATCCTATCGAAATTGTGAGCTTGCTCCGACTTCCGTGGTTTGGGAGTGTACGTTGCTAGAAGTTGCTGGTGACTGTGGTTCAAATTTGGCTGCTCGACTTCCTTGATACCGGCTATGATTAAGTAAGACTACTCCCCGACTAACTCCAATTAGGAAAAGGACTGTCATGCAGTATTCCTTGCAGTCGTTGTGTCTGTTGCACTAATTCGAATATTCAAAAATGGTCACCTTTGGTATTCCATTCAAATCCTGATGGCCTCCGTACACAAAAGCTTCGCTCAGTCAAGCTGGTTACAAATCCAAGTCTTGAAGACCGGAAATGCAAGTTGATCTTGACGACGAACACTACCTCTTTACCAACCCCTACACCGGCAAGTCCTACATTAAGAGGAAGCAACGTGCTATGCAGGATTCCGCCACCATGCCTCACCAGGAACTTGTGCATGAGAGCACGCAGAATATGGACTTCAGCAGTTGGTTCAACACCGGTGCTTCGAAGAACAGGTGTGCTGTAAAACGGCGACCCACGACCAACAGCACGGCAACTGTGAATGGAAGGGCCGGTAAGATTCCACGAAAGGCCACAGGTTCTGTTGCTCCTTCCGTACCGCAGAACATACACCTAACAAAGAACAACAGTGATGTCACCGAGAAGCCTGATGATGACGACGTCAGTAGTGCCAGTGGTGAAGATTTCGATGAAAAGGTAAGGAACATTGTGGACAACCAGATTGGCGGTAACCTCGAAGAGTACACCAGAAAGAAGTTTGTTAAGTCCATCAGAGACCCCATCACGAAATCACAGAAAGAAGCCTTGGAGAGATTGCGAGGTGACGTCGTGCCGCAGTTGAATGTGGCAAATGGCAACATCAAGGATGCCATGAACAAGCTCTGCCAGTTTCGAATGGAGTACGACAACAATAAGGCTCAGGACAGGAGGTTCCAGCAGTTTGTCGTCGAGAAACTGGGGCAGATGAATGGTACCATCGAAGCCCTTGGAAGGTACCTCTTGATGAAGCTTGGTAGCAATGACGGCTTAGACGACAACAGCCTTGCAAACATGGTTTCCTTTGACAGGTACGATGGAAGTTCTTGAGTGACAGTATAACAACGAACGAATATGATGGAAGTTCAGTAGCCCGATGTGTGAATCAATGTCTTCCAAAGTGAACTTGCAGATTTAAGAGATTTTAGTCCCATTTGGTTTTTGACGTCCTCCAATTTCTATCCCTACTAGTCGTTGCATGTGGATTAATTCGGTTCTTATATGTGTTTTGGTATCTAGGAAGTACGTTTGTAGCCGGTAGCGACTTCGTCGCCGGCAAGCCACCTCTCTATTTTGGCTCGAAGTGTGAGGAAGTCGAAATCGACTCACCCCAACTATAGAAAATCCGTCCGGCATGGTGGATGCTGAAAATGGGAGCCGATTTCCAGAAAAATCCATGTTGCGCGCAGCGCAACAAGATGCGCGACGAGCTCCGCGAAGCGGAGAAGGAGGAGGGGACACGCTCTCCATTCACCCACGAGAAACAACAAGAAACACAGAAAACGCATCAACACAGTCTTTAGAAGGTCCGCCCTATCAGAGCATTCCATCGAGCGGCAAAGCAAATCAAAGCAAATCGGATGACAAATGGGCATGGCAGTGGGCATGGCAATCGGTCCCCTTCTATGAACAGCATCACCCTAAGGAAAACAACGCTGACGACTGCCAACGACTGCGATTTTGCTTTCAGGTTGTCAGAGCTCTGGTTGGAGGTGTCTCATCTCCGCATTTTCAAGCCTTTTTTGTAGTACTGGTCTACTTACTGAGCAACTTTTTCCAGCTGGACTGGGAAAAAGTTGATCTCTAATTGCAAGGGATGACATCATTTACCATGATGAACTTCGGCCGTCAACGATTTCAGGAAAATTTCAAGGCACACCAGCGGGGATAGAGCACAGCAATCCTTTCATCACTATGGTGTTTGTTGCTCCATCACCAAGGTGTTTGTTGCTCCAGTTGTTGCGGCTCTTTGAATCTATCCTAATTGTCGTTCTTCATTGTCGAGGTATCTTAATGCCAGTGAATAAGCTACTACCGCAACAGGAGTGAATCAGGATAATGCTGCATGCTCCAGTTGCCGTTGCCGTTAACAGCCTCTCTCTCTAACGATCGAATGCTCCGGATAACAAGAAAAGGAGAGGCTGCTGTTAATCGAACGGAGACTCCATTTAATCCAGGCATATGACGAGTTAGAACAAACGTCGTGGAGCCATTGAAAGGCAACAATCAACCAGAGGAGGAAGCCAAACGACAGCACACAAACACAGAGAAGAGTAGATCCTCCTATTGGGTTCGCCCCTCCCCTGGTTGAATTCTAGTTTTTGGTTGGTGACCCTTTTCCCGCATGCTCAATCCTCAAGCAACCCCCAAGCAGCTTGCTCGCTCGCTAGTACCGTATGACAATACTGTAGGATAGGACTAATTAGTAAAATAGAATATAGACATCCAAGCAAACCATGCTCATTTCTTTGTCCCATGTCCCATCAGCCGGTGGGAATGCCTTCCATATTCTATTGACGAGAGTGGAGATTTGTTGATTAAAAGTGAGTCGGCTTTTGTCTGATCTGCTAGAACAATCAGGCTGCCTTCTTCTTGCTGCCTGCTGCCCATGTGTCAGATACGGTGGATGCTGCAACTGCATCATTCATGATGATCATGCTCATGCTCATGCCCATGCCGATTACAGTTGCAATATACCGGTACATGTACTTTGACTTGTTGCTCGTATGCTGATCCTTCATGATGATCATGCTCATGCTCATGCCCATGCCGATTACAGTTGCAATATACCGGTACCTGGTACATGTACTTTGACTTGTTGCTCGTATGCTGATCCTGCGAAAGATCGCCCTACTGTGCGACAGACTACCGGTAGGGTAGGGGTTATATCCCATGTCAATCCTGCACAGCGCAACATGGGTGGCGTGCACCAGAAACTCTCTTTGGAAACTTATTTTTTTATTTAAAGGAAGAGCCGGTGCCAAACCGACCACACGGGTGTAATAGTTCTTGATTAAACTATTCCCGTGTGATGTCAGCCGCACGTTGGATGCGCCCAACACGAAGATCGCACTGCCAATGGCGACAACAGCCGCCGACGGCAGGCAAACCATTCCTTTCCTACCCTTTGAACCCATCTTACCCTAGGCTAATAACTGACTCGACTCCACAATGGCTCCACCGACACCAATGAAGGCCGATGAACTGGCAGCACTCTGCGCGGTAGGTGGAGCAATCTAGCTAGTGTCACTGACGCACATCTTTCCACTATGGTAGTAGCATGGCATCTTACTCTTTGTGTTGCCGGCCGCTTTCTGCTATGATATGAACAGGCAACAGCAGTATGCTGTGCGGATGTCAATGCTTCTTTTATTGCCAAGAAGCGAAAT